AATTGAAATAAATAAAAAAGGATGTTCATTTTAATATTACTTGTAATAGCAAAAACTTAGAATTCTATCTCCAAATTGCCTATCAGCTCTCAGATCAGGCCTGGTGAGGTAAACCATACTACATCCATAAAATAGGATCTTATGTACCTGCTAAAAAAAATGAACAAGGTCCCTACTGCTGCTGAGGACAAACATCAAAGATATATTACAGAATATACGAAAGGTATGGGTGTATACCTAAATATTCCTTACTGAAATCCTGAAGGTATATATATATTTAAACCTAAAAGTGGTTACCTCTAAGAAACATGACTGAGAGAATATGACTTTCACTTTTTATTCTAAACTCGGCTGTACTGTTTGAATAACTTTTATTAAGTGTATAGGTTATTTTATTAATAAAAATAGTAACTATATGCAGTATTTTCTGCATTGCCTACAGACATCTGTTTGCTCTCTGTAGAAGTAGAAAGGGGAGCACTCTTTCCTTCTTCTTCAGACTTGAGCCTTCACACAGCAAACCACAGAGCCTACTAGTGGACAGGGACCACCCCTCTCCAACCAGTCCAGGTGAGGCCTCCACCCTCACTCACTCTCTCCTCTTTTCTGTGGTGTTGGTGTAGAAATGAAGAGAAATTTTCATTTTTGTTCTTCCAATTATAGAGCTATAGAGTCCATATAGCTCTGAAAAGCTAACTTGAAAAATGATGAAGAGTTATTCCATCCCAAAAGGTAACAAAGAAAAGTCAGTGCTTTCTCTAATGCTATTTATTACATAATTACACTTGTCCCTTGGTAACCATTGGGGATTGGTTCCAGGAACCCCACAGACACCAAAATCCGTGTATACTTTCAGTACTTTGCAACCCACATAAACGAAATGAGGGTTTCTCAGCCAGTGAATACTGTATTTTTGCGGATGCAGAACCATGGATATGGAGGGCCCACTACATCTACTGAAAAAAAAAAAAAAATCTGCGTATAAGTGGATCCACACAGTTCACCTATGTTTTTCAGAAGTCAGCTATATATTACAAAAACAAACAAACGAAAATGTTTTCCAATTCAAAGTATATCATCTGCCATTCTTCCAAGTCCCATGAGAACCAGAAAGCTCAGGCACTACTCCAAGGGGTTTTCTGTCTCAGCTTAGAATCTTACGTTTGCCTACCTCAAACTACTAAATATCTCTTTCATCTAAAATTATCTCTATAAGAAACATAATAGTATACTGAAGCTGAAATGATGAAGTGGAAGCTACACTGAAAATTTCTGATGTTGAAGAGCTTAAAGAATAGTTGAACTTCGTTTTGTACTAATTCCATCAGAGATGTATCTCCAACCCTGCTGTGGAGCGGGCTTTAAAAAAAGTTGCCGAAAAGCATGCTTCTGTTTTTCTTATAATTTGACCTTGAGACTTGAGTTAGGGAGGCTACTTACATAGTATCAAGGGACCTTTCCAAATTGTATAAAAATAATCCCTACCATGTTTTCCTTTGTCAGAAGGTCATGATACACAGGCATTTATTAAAGTTTACTTAGGTGCTCATTCATTTACTTTTTAGCTGTACTGATAGATACAGAAAACAAGTTCAACATCACCTGAAAAAGTCTAATATCACCTTAGCTAAATATTACTCATATTAAATCTGATGTTATAAGTATTATGATCTAAAATGTGATTTCATTTTTGGTAGTGAGGTGTAAAAGTAATTAGTAAAGTGAACAAAATGTTGCCTGGTGCACTGAGCTGTCTGTGGTACTGAAAAATGACACCAAAGCTGAAATTTACTGAGCTGGTGTCTTACAAAGCCTCCCCATCACACTGTTTTAATTCAAGCACTTCCGTCCATGACTCACCTGAACCATCTTATTTTGCCAGAGTTATGTGTGTATAAACATTTTATAAAAGGTCACATGGATTTGCTTTCCAAGGTTCTCCATGAAAATGTCAGGGCCTCCTCTTGCTTCATTAAGCAATTCCAGAGGACACAGAGCCAGAAAGTCAGCTATAACACTTACTTTTTCTGAAAGCAGTGAGAAATCACATCATGCACCAGAAGTCTACACTAGCTACCTTTTACTATCTGATTATCATACTGATACGCTAAAAAGAAAGAGCAAAACTGTGTTATGCTACATCCAATGACATGCTATGAATGACAGCATAACTTTACATTTAGTCCATTAACTCAAAGGCAATTGATATATTTGGAATTCTTTAGAGTGAGCTGAGAAGTGCTCATTAGCTTAAAACTTTTTACGGAAAAAAAAATACACCTACAGCGTTACCTCAATAAGTAAAAAAAGGCGAGGTGGGGGGCAATTCATCATTTTCCATGCACATATATAAGCCTGAACAGTTAGTTTTATTGAGTTTCAGCCCTGTTGATGCTCCTCTCTAGAAAAATTAGAATATTTCTACTTTTTTCTGGTTCTTGACTTCTAGTTCAGGGTCTTCACATTTATTTGGCCCTTCTCCATTTTATTTTATTTTTTAAATCAAGACATCTCACATAATAATTTGGAGTTTCGATTTAAAGGAGAAATGCCTCTGGATAATACACCAAGTAAAAAAAGCTACATCCAAAACAATTAAATGATATGACCCAAGCATCCATTTTGAAGTTATCTTCAGTCTAGTTTAACAGAAACCACATATCATATAAAATAAACTCAATTTTAAAACATATAATATTCTATAATGTTTGTGTAGCCCAACAGTAGGTAAGTTCACTGTGCGTATTTGCCACGGAGGGTCATTCCACATCATTTTTCTCACTCATGCAATACATATCCTAATCAATATATCTGTGCATAGGCATAACAGAAATGGTCCTCTAAATTAGCCAATGAGTGGAATGCTTAAAAGCATTAATCTATAAAAATATGATTTCCTGTTTTTTATTAACTTCTGTAAATTTTAAGATTTCTAATATATCAATTTTTAAGATAGTTAACATTCAGTAGCTGTTGTTAGACTCCTATGAATTACTTCAAAAAAATCTCCCAATAATTCTTAAAAAGTCAGTGTTTTCAAGACACTTTGTTCTTGATGTTAATACCAGCAAATGTCCTTCCCCATGAATGCTTGTTTAGCTGTGTGATTTTCACAAGGAACAGGCAATAACACAAAGCTTCTATTTAATGAAACCCAGCAAGGTCTCTCATTTCAGAATCACAGAATTATTAAGCAAAATGACTCTGGCCTCCAAGCAAAACATGTTTTCAAGGTAACGTGATTTTTAAAAATACGTAAGAACATTTTGGAACAATCTTTTAAGTTTAACTAAATTTATATACTAAACTTTTGGATTTAGAGGGAAACTGCAGAAAAAGAAATATCCCTGTTTTGGGGCTTTTGGCATGTGGGAGCACATCGCAGAGGGAAGCATTATGGCCTGGAAGGTAGGACAAGGCTGGTTCTCACTGGGTACTGTCTAGTTGTATGGCCTGGCAAGCTGCTTCTGCTGATTTCAGATTCCTTATCTGTAAACTGAGTCAAGGGACCATTAGACCTATATAGTAGCTCTAATTGTCTACTCTTCAAGTCAAAATAAAAAGATAAATTTCTAATGTTTAAGTTATATCTTACTATCTCTTTAAAATGTTTGAAAGAATCTCAAAAGCCCACCAACACTAGCACTGAATTAAAAATCAATGTAAACTGTTAAAACTTTAAAAAAATTCAAATGTATGTTCATCTCATTTTGTCAGTGCAGTTTTACTATTTCTTTCTGAATAGTCTCACTCTTTGTAATTATCATTCTCCAACCTCATCCCCTCAAAAACACATTTTTCGAAGTTTTGCAACTATAAGGGCAAGGTGAAGTAATTTCTCCCTCCTCACTTGGAGTAATGTGCATCACTATTTTGTTTGGGCAATCAAAATGATTTCTTCCATATTTAGTTCGTGTTTGCTAATTATAATTTAAAATTATTTCAATTTAAATTAATACTAACTTACTTCAACAGCAAATCCTATGCAATGCTTTAAATTGAAAGGCAGCTTAAATCTGAAGTAGTCTAAAGGAAGATGACCCAAATTAAGGGTCTCATAGTACAACCAAAGGTCTGACAACTGCTCAAAAAAATAATAATAATAATAATCAGAAAACACATAGTGAAAATTCTTGTGCACCAGGACTACAAACCTGAGCCACTGCACCTCCCAAATAGTGAAATTCTAAGCTAAAAAAAATTGCAATCTAATTTTTGAAAACTCTATACTTATACTTATTTTAATTTAAAAGCCTTAATACTCCTTACACTGTAGGCTATCAACTGATAGATGACACATAAATTTTATAGATTATCCTGATATGGTTACTAACAGCCAAATATAGAGCTCCTGCCTGCATTTAAACAAAATAAATATTTTCCTAAAAACAAACAAAAAACCAGCTCACAAGGACAGTGGTTTTAACTCTTAAATTACATTAAAAAACACATAATGATTGGATATATAGAATTTGCATTCTAAACTCACACAGATTTTTTTAATGGTGGGGGATTTAGGAAAGGGTTAGATCTTTTCCCACATCTCATTTATAAAAAGTAGCCAGCAACTCATCACCCTATTTTCTTCTCTATGCTAAATTATAGAAGATGATACAGACACAATCACCTAATGATGCACCCACTAAGGTGTCTCAAACAAGAACACAAGTTCATTCTAGATTAAAACTAGAGCATAACTAGCTTTAAGGAAAAAAAAATGTGACTGACTAGAGAAGAGGATCCACCTATTGAAGAGAGGTAAAAATCTTGAGTCCAACAAATACATCTCAGAAAATGCTGCATGTTTATATGCTACTTTGCCTTGCGTTGTTTTCTACTTCCTGAAAGAACAGATCAGGTGCTAACATAACAATACAGCATGTGTCTTCTGTAACCTCAAGCAAGGGCATGACGGCTTGGAAAAAGCCTCTGCTGCCTTGCGTTTCTCTAAGCTGACTGTAGGGCTTTGGGTCATTCATAAACATCAGAACCTAAGTTACCTGTATTTCCCTGGCGTGGTACACGATGATCAGACCGAGCAGGATGATCGTGGAGAGACTGATAAGGCATTTCAGAGCTAAGGAATACAGCGACGCCTGCAACACAGTCAGACAGAAGCACTTTTAAGAAAGAAGCACTTTTAGCCACCTTCCAGGCCCCCAGGGTCAGTCAGTCCCCCACAGGTGGACCTGAACTCACAGGAGGAAGATGCGGGGAGAGGGGTGCACTCATCTTGGCTCTGTGATCTGTCAGATCACTCGGCCTCAAAACCAAAAGAGAGGAGAGCAGACTTGGAAAGACTGGGAAGATGCGTGGTTGGGCTTTGCCGGGTCCACGCCACAGCGGACCGAAGCGCCGCTGCTCCAAGCTAGAAAAACCAGAGAGGAAGTTACTCCTGAGTTCAAGAGAGAGGGTTGAAATGGGCCTCGTAAACACAATTCACCAAGGGAGGAATATAGATGGTTTCTCCACCGACTCCCAGAACCACTTACTTAAGGTGCCCGAACGCGCTGGGCGCTCTTACTGCCTCGAGAACTTTGGCTACACGCGGAAAGGGTTCATCTCCGAGTTGTTTAGCTGACTAGGGATGCGCGTCCTAGACGCGCCCGCTGTCCTGGCAGGCTCCCTTGATCGTCCCGGGGAGGCTGGACACCCCGCAGGCACATGGTCCCTGCCAGTGCCCATCCCAACCACCCAGCACCCGACTCTGGTAGCGTAGGCAGGGGTTCAAGCCCGTACCTTGTCGTAAGCGCCCCATGACAGCTCGGTCTCGATGACCATGACCACGATGCCGAACATGCCGAAGATGAGCGCGTAGTCGCTGAGCCGCTTGCGCTTTTCGAACAGGGCGCGCCGGTGGCCCAGCTTGTAGCCGATGTTCTGGTTTTTCTTTTTGCTGGACTTGGTGCCACTGCTGCTGCCGTGCCCGCTCCCGCCACCGCCGCCGCCGCCTCCAGTGCTGCCTCCGCCGCCGGTTCCATAGAGCGCCAGGTTGTTGGAATTGTTGTGCTCGGGCTTCGACACCACAATCTCGGGGGCTGAGGACGAAGCGGCGGCGGCTGCAGCGGCTGCAGACGGGGAGGACACACCGCCACCTCCTCCGACGGACGCGGGGGGCTGCAGGGGCTGCGCCTCTGAGTCCATCTCGTGCAGGTTCCTGCGGGACGCGCTCAAGTTGCTGAGCGGCCGCATGACGCCCCCGTTGTACCTGCAGCTGCTCATGGCTATTTCGGTGAAGGGGTTGCTCTCGCGGCGCGCCTGGGGCTGGTGGTGCTGGTGGTGCGCCGGGTGCGGGTGGTGGTGGTGGTGCGAGAGCGGGGGCCCGGAGCCCAGGCTGCCGAGGCTGCCCGTAGGGCTGGCGGCGGGCTGCAGGCTGTGGCACTGGTGGTACTGGGAGGTGGACGCGGGCTGCTGCGCGTACTGCTGCCGGAGCGCACTGGCATGGCTGGACGGCGTCAGCTCGCTCACATTGAGCTGGCTGCCCCGGCGCGACGAGCAGCAGCAGCAGCAGCACGACGAGCCCGACAGCGGTGAGGAGGTGCGGGTCCGGAAGGCACCGCCAGGCGAGGAGGTGCGGAGCAGCAGGGACAGGTTATCCCCCGCCCCCGCCGCCGGGGCACCGGAGGAGGCGCAGCTGTTGCACCGGAGGCATGGGCTGCTGCCGCCGCTGGCCGGCTGCTGGTGCGCGAGGTGCGGGTGGTGGTGAGGGTGCGGGAGGGGCGCGAAGGGCGGGCACGGCTTGTCCTGGCTCTGTTGCTGCTGCTGGCAATGCAGGTGTGAGGAGCGCGGCGGCGGCGGCGGCTGCTCTGGGAAGAAGCCGCGCTGGAACTGCAATGGGGTTTCCATGTCAGGGCTGTTAAAGCTGCAGGGAGACCAAGCGGTGGTGCACCCTGCGCAATGCGTTATGGTCGGGAGCGGGGACTCCTGCTGCTGGTGCGAGGAAGGGCCCATGCCGGCTCCGGTAGAATCCAGGCGGCGAGTCCGATTGGTTGGCCGCACCAAAACAATGGGCATGACATCACCTGCGGGGACCGAGACTGAGTTTGCGGCGCGCGCGGCTTAGGGAAGCGTGTGTGGCAGAGAAAGATGGGGAGGGGAGTCTGTAGGACAGAAACCCTGGGGGACGCAGTCCAGAGCCAGGGCGCTCCAGGGCAGGGATTCCACCTGCTGATTGCGTGCGCCCCTCAGCCCTGCTGGAGACGGAGAGCCCCCACGCAGTGCAGCTGGGCTGCAGGGGGAGGAGAAAAGAGAAAGGCGCCCTCCCTCCCGTGCCGCTGCCCCCCTGACTAGTGCTGGACGCGCTGCCCGGATCACCTGCGCCAGCCACTGCAGCACGTCGGGCCACCCCGGCCAGGGGGCAGGCGCAGGGACCGTGCGGAACGCGGACCACTTCGCCTGCACGCCTCGCAGGGCTGCAAGACAGCAGCCCCCTCGCCCCACGCCCGCTTTTCCCAGATCGTCCCGCCGAGAGTGGGCTGCCGGCAGCCCGCCAAGTAACTGCGGGGGCACTGGCTCTGGGGAGAAAAAGTTTGGCGACTGGCTTCGCCAATGAAGCAACGTGTGGCGAGAATGCCCGGGCCTGAGCCCTGCCTTGGCCGCTGCGGGATCATAGCCGATCCAGCGCCCGGATCTTGCCCCGCGCCCGGCTCAGGAATCTGGATCGGGTGTGCGGAGCTCTTGCCCAAGTGCGCTGCGGCGCGGATAGGGTTAACCGCCTCGGCACCCGGGCCGGGGGAGGATGGGGGCGGGGCCGGAGGAGGGGATCCCCGCAGTCCGCCGGCAGAGCCGGCGCGGGCTTCCCGGGTCCCCCTGGCGGGGGCGGAGGGCTTTCCCCGCTACCGCCAGCTCACATTTGCGCTTTCTCCGAAACATGAGGGGCTAGCGCCCCTGGCCGCCGGGTCCTGGGCTCTAGGCGCTCAGGCCCTCCGGCAGCCGGAATCCGGAGGTCCGAGGGCTTTCCTGGAGGTGGAGAGGCAGGTGGTTCCTTCAAAGGTTTCGGGGGTGCTCAGCCAACGCCGGCCTCCGGCTCCTCTTCTGCTCCTCTTCCTCCTCACCTGCAGCGCAGACAGAAGGCCAAGACCTGTCACAAATGCGCAAATACCGAGCATCTTTGCCAAGTCCTAACTGCAGCGACGGGTGGGAGAGGGGCCTGGCGCGGGCTGGCAGGGAACTTACTGAGAATGATAGCTTGGGCTCAATAATCGCTGCCCATGGACAGTGCTGGCGTTATGTTGGAGTTCGGTATCATAATTTATTTATTTATTCTCTAATAAACTAACAAAAATTGCATTTGATATCTCCCAAATTCCCCGTGCTGTGTTCTTCTAAGAAATATACCAAGACAATGCGCTAGGTGATCCTTTTGAAGGTTCTTTGTTTGTGCTCCATCTTAAGTCTCTACATTTGCATTTCTTTGTGAACTCAAATTCCCGTCTTCCCCTAAAGATGAAAGAAATGGGCCCGCTGAATATTTTCCATTTTAATTATTTTAAAAACTGATTTTTATGATAGAGACTATTATAACGAATTAGATCTAGAAATTCGAGTGAAAGCAGATCACCCTCATTAGGTCATTAGGTAATTGGAATTCTCAGCTGGATCCAATTTCTTGATACTCTACTCGGCAGCTGCCCTAAAGTTGCTTACTTGGTATCTGCTTGTAAGAGTGCGTGCGTGTGTGTGCTTTCAGTGTCACAGAGTGAATAATTCATTTTAGGACATTCTTTGGACACGTAAAACAATTTTAATTTTTTCTAAGTGCAAATAAACATTCAGCAGAAAAAATGGAGTGTGGAGCGTAGAGCTGCTTTATCCCATCGCCCTGGACTTGAGATAATGAATACTGTCCAGACTAATTTCTCAGTGGTCTTGGTCATGAATATAATTTAGTGGCAAACACTCAGAGACAGCATTTTGTTTTTATAATCTATTATGGTTTTTGTTTTGTATTTTCAAAATGGTAATTAAATAAAACTTGTTTAGAATCACGAAGCTAATTGGGTCTTGGGGCAGCTGAGTACATATTGCATGAATTGTGTGGAGAGCATGACTATTAAAAACAATCCTAAGAAGTGATTTGAATTAAAATGAAAGCTTCCTTATGAAAAGTTATTAACCTTCTTGTCTGAAAAAGAAATTCAACTCATGCACAAAATCCATCAAACATGTATTAGTACCCTTTGCAACAAATTATATAGCCTTCCAGTTGTTGTAGGTAGCGACTGAGTGAAAATATTTGATTCGTCCTTACAAGTCTAACTACTTCAAAGGAAAATTGTGGTAAATAAATATTTTTATTAGCCATTCATAAATTTAGATAAAAGATTACATAGCCTCCACCCCTGAAATACCACAATAGTTGTTGCCAGCATTAAATTTAGATACAAGGTTCTACAGTTACTGAACTGTCAAAAGAAAAATAATGGCTGCATCCCTTGTGTCAAACTGACGTTGTCAAATAGCAAATTCAGGGCTTCAACAGAGGCTGCAAAAACAAAATATAGGCAAAAGTGTATCCTTTGCCATGTATATGTCTATGCTCTAATATGGGATTAGCTGCAGGGCCATTAATTATGTAGAAATAAAAAGTACCTGCTGAGATTTGTTGTAATGCTGCATGGAGTTATCACTTCTCTCCAAAAGGGTACACAGGAAGATAGAATGCACAAAATTCAGAAGAAAATGGAAATTTGATCCACAACATGAGGGACTATGAGAACACCAAAATTCAGACTAACACTGCTTCCAGCTAGCCACTATTTTGAAAAAGCTCATAAAATAATTTAATAGTGTAAAACTCACTGTGATTGGACAGAGAACAAATCAATCATCACCTTTCTCTTTAAAAATCAACTGATTACACACACTCAAAAAGCCATCTTGCTAATAAATGTCTGTATATTGAGAGTGTAATAAACATAAACCTCTATTAGCATGATGATGAAAAAACACAAGATAATTTTGTGTTTCATTTTTAGTCTGAATCATCCTAACTTCATTGGTTTAACACAATTTACACTATTAGGTTATAACAGGCACATTTAATAGTTCTTATTTTCATCATTTTTTTAATAAAGTCAACAAATTTTAAGTTTTTATGTAGACATTTTAAATATGTATAACATTTTTCTTTTTTTTCCTATACAGAATTGTAGAGATACATGTAACATGTAAAGTTAAATGAAGCAACAAAGGCAATATTCTTCCACTTGGATAATGCTTTGCACATTGTACTTATTTATACTTCTGAGTTCAGAGAGAAGGAAAGAGGAAGGAAATGAAGAAAGATTGGAGAAAAACAGACGCAAATCAAGGCCTATGATTTCCAGGTGATAAGCTTTCAGAAAATTAAATTTGCTTCTTTTGTTCCATTAAGGTAAATAAGTGAGAGAATTTCCCTAGATTAACACCAGAGGTCATACTCATCCAGAAAATGTATTTCAGCTCTAATCAATTAAATCTATTTCCAGCATCACTTTTTAATAAAAACTGTCTATTTTTTTCCTGTGGCCTACAACTATTGCTTTTCCACATTTGCTGAATTTCAGGCTTGTGAACACAAACACAAACACCCATCCAACACACAAACACATCTTCTTAGAAGTATGTCTTTTTTCAGACCACAGGAGCTTGGGGAAAAAACGTCATGTTTTTTGCACTCCAATCCCTTATTTTATTCAGATTTATATTATGCCATTGTTTAGAATTCTCTTTTTTTTTTTTTTTTTTTTTTTTTTTTTTTTTTTTTTTTTTTTTTTGAGACGGAGTTTCGCTCTTGTTGCCCAGGCTGGAGTGCAATGGCGCGATCTCGGCTCACCGCAACCTCCGCCTCCTGGGTTCAGGCAATTCTCCTGCCTCAGCTGGGATTACAGGCACGCGCCACCATGCCCAGCTAATTTTTTGCACTTTTAGTAGAGACGGGGTTTCACCATGTTGACCAGGATGGTCTCGATCTCTCGACCTCGTGATCCACCCGCCTCGGCCTCCCAAAGTGCTGGGATTACAGGCTTGAGCCACCGCGCCCGGCTAGAATTCTCTTCTTTATAGGATTGTCTATACTAGGTCTTTTTGTTGTACCTTAGAAAGCAGGGTTCTCTTGATTTTGGGTGTTTTTGGTATATTTCCAAAGGCAATCAGAACAGGGGTCTGTGGCATCTGTTTCCCACACGGTCTGAAGGAAAATTTTCACCTACAAAGTAAATGTTTTCCTGAGAATTATTTTTTTCTTTGCCTGGGTGAGTCAATTACAATATTTGATAGTGCCAAACTTAGAGGTTGTGACAAGACACAGCCACTCTGAACTTACTTTCCTTAGCAATAAATGCAAGTGGGGAATCAGGATAGTATCAGTTAGCACAATAACACATTGTGTTAGCACAATAACATTCCTTAGCACAATAAAAATTCCATTTTTCTGGAAACATAACAATTAAAAGGCCCTAGAAACACCATTATTTTAAAATCACACATTGCCCCATTTCATAAGAAATCTACTAATTGGAAGAAAACATAAAAATCATGATACATGCTCTTCATACTTCTGCATTATGATTAAAAGGTATCAAGACATGAATGAGTATGTTGATGACGGTCTTATAAATTTCTAGCAATACCTCTGTTTTTTTTAGGGGCTAATTATTGTTTTAGGGCCTATTCATTAAGTTCCTAACTTTTCAGTTTTTCCTTTTCTCACACTTGTCTCCTACCATTTCTCAGCTAATTAGTAAATCTATAAAAAAAGACAAAGGTAAAACTCATATTGAGTTTGCTAGTAGAACTTTACTTGTGTTAATTAAATGGGTGAACAGGTAGAAATTATTGTGAATGCTAAGTCTTTTTAAAATAATCTATGAATTTCATAAACATTTTTTGGCAGCTAGAAATACACGCTTATGTCTAGAAGATCATAACACTTAGCAGACAGTACATTCTATCTTATAGGGTAGTGTCTCATGTGTTTATTTGCATCTCACAACAAACCATATGGAAGGCAGGCAGAGGTTTTATCATCATCTCCATTATACAGGTAAAGATAACATCCGAAATGCAGTGCTTGCCCTACCCAAGGTGATACAGCTAGTGAGTAGCAAAGGGAAGCCAGACTTCAAATACAATCTTCTGAAGTTTTCTGAGTCTGTTTTACACTCTGCTAGCTTTTCTTCACAGCCCAAGAATGTAGTAGCCTCTCATTACCAGAAACTGCCTGTGAAGGGCCTCACAGACATTTCCTCACTGGCTTTTTGGTTTCTGTGATCCTTAACTATTGTCCTCTTGTTGACTTCATTTGATCAACAGAATAATTTGTGAGGATATAATACATTGTAGATGAAATAGCAGTGCTGTATGCCTGCAGGTCCAAGGGACCTAATTAAAATATATTTTTTAAAAATACAGATACTGATGTATTCAGACACACTCTTCTATCTACTTTGCTGCCAGCCTATAGATTCCTAATTTTTTATAATTTTGACAGTAGCAAATACCATTTTGTTTTTTTTTTCAAATAATAAGGGAGATGGAGCAGGCTCAAATTCTTCATCCTGCAGCTCCAGGAACTTGTCTGCAGTCTTGCAGGCATCCAGCTTGGTTCCTTGCCTCCTACTCTGGCAGACTTGTCCTCTCA